TTCTAATTGGGTCACAGCCTGAAAAGACAAGAAGATAATGATGTAATCACAAGGAATGCCGATGCACCTGGGTGCTGCTTTAAATACAGCATGCTATGAGGAAAAACATTTCTCTTTTGCAACATGTTTATGGAAACAAGAAGCCCTTTTGGTCATCACTACACCTCATGATCCTAAAACCATCTGGACATGGCCAGAATTAATTCTCGCTTCGGTGTGCCTAGCTGTTTATCCTTTCTCGGTCAAGGAGATTCAGCCTTGGCCACCTCCCATCAACAATAATACCGCTTCACACGTGTTTACCATCAGTGCTAGCCGCATCTCTTTTCTCCAGGAGATACAGGCAAGAAGGCAGCCCCATCATTTGTTTTTCTTTCATGAGGGTATCCACGCATACCAAACGCCTTTCATTTGCTTAGTAAGACCTGATTTCATGGCCGTTTCTCAGTAAATGCTCCCAATGGCAATGACCCCGAGAGGCAGGAATCGTTGTCCCCATTTTTGCAGACAGATAAACTGAGCCTCACAGAGGTAACCTCCAGGTCACCCAGGCCGGGACTTGAATTTTCTGCATAGAGAGCTTGCAGTCAAATGACAGCCCCTGAAGGCTGTCATAAAAAAATGCAGTTGGAGGAAAAGAAAACATTTAATACCAGGAAGGGCATCAAAACTAGCCCAGTGTATACACTATCAATCACTCCTAGGAACTCCATCACTGCACACACTGTATCTGCTGTATCCCCATCCATCATACACGAGTGTCTGAGCGGTGCCAGCCACAGCTGTAGAAGAAACCCTTTAAGATATACTTAGAAGCTAATCTGCATACACTTCCAGCTTCAGAGACAGTAGGGAGTCTATGGCCAGGATTCCAACTGCCTCACTTAAAGTATATAATCATATGCTTTGTGCAAACCTGCCCATTGAGGAAAAACAGTTTCCGCTCCTCTTTGGATTATATGTAATAGCTTCTAATTGGGGGGAGGGGGGACCTAAAAACACCATCCAATAGGAAGGGCAGGGAGAGTCTGCCTGCCTGCCATGCAGGACACCTGCACTTGAGTTCTGCTCTAACCAGGCGGGCTGGATCTCTATGATTAATGACAAAGAAAATACTGTTCTCTCCTACTGACAGGTACGTGAGCTCTAGGGCGAAGTAAGTGTGTGCGTGTGCTGCACAAGCAGCACGGTCTGGGCCACTTAGGGGGTGTGCAGACCATGAGCTGGTTACACAGATTAGCCGTAAAATGAGCAGAGTGATACCTACCTCTGGAGCTGCTGGGAGGATGCAGTGAGATCATGCATTGAAAGCTTTGGGCACCATGCTGAGACATACAATAGGTGCTCAGCAAAGAATGGCATTTGCCAGTGTCCTTTGCCAGTGTCATTCAAGTTTGAGCCCCAACCCCTTTAGGGGTGTTTTCAGGCCTTCAGATTATTCCGTAGTATCAGGCTTTCATCTTTAGACAGGGTCAATTCAAAGTGACACACAGCCACTCAGGACCTACTGTGTGCCCAGCTCAGGGTTTGTCACTTAACACATGGTCAATAAACAGCTGACTAAATGAATAAATAGAGCTTAGCAACTGGAACGGAGACCCTGTACCCTGGTGCCTCCCAGAATTTGGCCTGAATCTTTTCTTCACTTGCAAAAGGAAGTAAATATTTTCAAGAAGATGATAAAACAATACCCACCTCACCTCAAAAAAAACCCAAAAACACAACAAAAACAAAACAACAACAATAACAACAAAAACCCAAAAAACCACAATGCCTGAGCAGCTGCAAACTCTGTAGCGCCTGGCCCATGCAGGCATTCCAGATTTCAGAAAGGTCTGAGGCATGAACTGCTGGGTAAGGTGAGGGGTATTGAAATAAAAGCATTAGTATGTAGTTTCCTTTTAAAGGTCTACACCCATTTACAGAGGCATTTTGCCTACAGAGTATGTCAATTTGATGCCATGATAGCCTTATTTTATTCCCCTTGGGATAGACTGGGGCAAGCAATTAATCCTGAAATCATGGCAATTAGACGAGGCCACTTTTAGACTAGCAGCTTGTGGAAAGAATGGCATTGTTCTGAGGATAATTAAATACCCATTTGGACTGCACTTGGGTTCAGGGCCAGAAACACAGCCATGAGATGCTGCGCTAAGCACTTTTAAACACAATCAACGCCATTCTCTTTTCCCCTATGTGACCTCGGGTGAGTAACATGCCCTCTCTGGACTCAGAGTGCTCGTCTGTAAAACGAAGGGAATAAGGTTAGGTCTCTTTAGGCCTTTCTCACTCCATAGTCCCACGGTTCTGAGATCCCTAGTACCCAGGACACAGGTGTTCCCCCCTGGGGATGGAGGAGAGAATGAGATTCGCTAGAGCCATCCAGCGTTCCTGGAGACAGGAGCTGCGGTCCCCTCCTTCACTGCTGCTCTGGGCATCAGGTGCTGGGAGCAGGACAGCTGTGCCTAGATTCCCTGGTGGCAGCTGCGCGCAGCAGTCTCGTGCCATCTGTCCTCGGTGGTGAGGTTACAGCCTTTCTCTGCGAGGTGCATCTCGCCAATGAACCACAGCACCAACCCCTCGGTTTGCACAAGTGCACAGTGCCCAGAGGAGCTGCCCCCTCCCCGCAGCTTCAGCTGGTGCAGCTGTGGCTGACTGCTCCCTGCCTACCGCTGGGGAGTGGGTGCAGAGGANTTTTTTTTTCCCAAACACTGAACAACTGTTAGGTGCTGCAAACATAATAAGGAGAAATGCCAGGTTCCATCCTGCAGTGAGCTTATGGTCTGGTGGGGACAATACACAGATGTAGATCATTTCAAGGTCGTGTGGCAGGAATGGTGACAGGTCTCTATGGGGCACTGTGGAGACCTAGAAGGGATCCAGCTAGCTTTTGGCAAAGAAGTTTAATAAAGTTTTTTCTCAAAGAAAAAGCCCTGATCTGAACTCTGAAGAAGAGCAGTTAGGCAGGCAACCAAGAAGGCGGAGGGCGGGCGCAGGGGGGCATGATCCAGGCAGATGAACGTACATGAGCCAAAAGGACAGAGCCTGGAACAACCTGAGCAGGTGGGCGTGTCGGTTGTTTGGTGGGACCAAAGCAATGGTGGAGAGACGGGCAGGAGAGGAGGCTGCAGAAGTGGATGGTGGTGGCACTTGGTGCATTTCAGTCTTTTCTGCCAACTCTTTCCTAACTTGATTCTCTCTCATAAGATAACAGTCCAGAGTTACGCGATGGTAATGATGTGGCCAGCATGCACAGTGCTCTCCCAGATCTGGCTGGACCATAAATACCTGCGTGTCTTTGGTAAGCCTTCGTTAGCTTGTTCCCAGTATTTTATGTTATTTGGTGAAACTATATGGATCCTTTAGACTCTCTCCCTAATTCATGTAAGTAGTAATTCTATTTAATTCCAATGAATCTGGTAGGCTTCCTCACAGTTGGAACTCAATGCTTTGAAAACGGTCCACAACTATTTTCAGTGGTAGGAACATATTAAGTTAGTAATTAAGTCACACAATTTATGTTTCAAATGTGTTGAACTCATGGTACACTTTTGTTAATATCATAAATATAATTTACTGGATAATGTTCTCCTTAAGCACAACTTTTAAAATAAGCTTCATTCTTGAGATGTAGACTTTCCTCTTACCGGATGGTTTTTCACTCAAGGATTAAATGAGAAAAACATGCAGAGGCATACAACATAGAATGTTATTTCATTCCACTGGATTTGCTGTTTAAATAGAACCTTGAGTTAAATTAAATTTTGTAGAGAAAAGGGATTCTTAACCCATAAAATTAAAAGTAATTCCAATAACCATATGTAATTGAGAATCTGGAATAATATCTATTTTCACAACTTTCCTCCCCACGTTAACTTTACTCCTTTTATTTGTAACCTAATAAGCCATGTTCCATCTAATATTGTCATCATTAATCATTTAACAGCCTCAAGAGAATAAAAGTCATCATTCACTTTAGTAAACCACTTTACAGTTCACAATACACTTTGCAAAACATTATCATCATGTTTGGTGCACACTGAGTCCTGTGAAGTTGGCAGCATAGATGTCTCTCTATCTATATTTTGCAGATAAGTTGAGACCAAGAGGTGAAGTGACTTGCCTTTGGCCAGTCAGCTAAAAGGAGCTGGACTTGACCTGTAGACCAAGCAGCATCTCGTTCATCTATCACTTTACAGAGCCCTAGTTAGCCTTCCCCGTGGTGCACGTCCAGCTCCAGTGTATTTTCTAACCAGAAACCAGTATCCCTAAAAGGTCTGGCATGATGCACATCCATCTGAAGAAGTGACCTGGGAGGCTGGCTCGAGATGCCTATGCACCTTCCCTTCCATTAAGGGTACTTTGGGTGTCTTCAGGTAAAGACAGGTGTGGCTGCGGGGCGCAGACTCTGGCCCCTTCTTTAGGCCTCAGGCATTTTCCAGAGCAAGCAGAGTGACACTGGAAGCTGCCAAGGCCAGTGAAGGGAATGATGAGTAGCTTGTCTGTTGAGGGGGGAGCCCCTCAATATCTCCATCAGGCCTGTTTACTCCTCAGCCACTCTTTGATACAAACAAGTGATATTTTCACAAGAATATCTGAAGTGCTATACAACTGCTGTTTCAAGGTTAGTCCCTTGATCCTGTGTTCAACTAGACCACTACACTGTACTCCTAGGCTCCTCCCACAGAGAAATTCTGAAGGCGCCATCGGCGAAGGCTGAGATGTCCCCCAAAACACATTCTCGCAGACCCGCTCCCTATGTTTTGGCATCAGGAGCTCCTTTATTTAGGAAAAGTATGAGCCCCTACTGTGAGTCAGCAGCTGTGCCAAAGGATACAGGGATGAGTGAGGCACATTCCCGTTTCTACTCTCAAGAGCTGGTTATTTGATGGAAAGACAGGCCCAGAGATACAATCAGGGCAGTGGCACGGAGCCGAGAAGCACCAGGGGTTATAAAGGATGGGCCATCTCAGGGCTCAGGGCCTTTGCACGTGCGCTTTCTCCTACCTAGGACACACATTCCTTCCCCCAGGGCCTTTACCACATGTCCTTCAGGACAAAAATTAGAGGACTGTTTTTTTTTCCCCCTGGAAAGTATTTCCTAACTCAGTTTGCACTGCATCCCACTGCCCAGAACAGCTTATGTGATACTCTTATTTCAGTGGTTCTCAACTTTGGGTGCACATTGAAATAACCAGAGGAGGGGGGATATGGATACCTCATTCACACCCTAGAGCAGCGGTTCTCAACCATCCTAATGCCGCGACCCCTTAATACAGTTCCTCATGTTGTGGTGACCCCCAACCATAAAATTATTTTCATTGCTACTCTATAACTGTAATTTTGCTACTGTTATGAATCATAATGGAAATATCTTTTTGTTTTCCGATGGTCTTAGGCGACCCCTGCGAAAGGGTCGATCGACCCCCAAAGGGGTCACGACCCACAGGTTGAGAACCGCTGCCCTAGAGGTTCTGAATTAGTTGGTTTGAAGTGCAGCCTAGTAACTGGGACTTTAAAAGCTAATCTGTATGAATATTGGTTATAAACCAGTACCTCCATGCCAGGGTGTACTGACCAAATAGCAGTTGTGCCTGTCTTTGATTCCCAGTGGTGTACTTGGCACATCCTGCTTGTGTCTGAATCGCCACTATACTATACTATACTATACTAAACTACACGTCACAAGGCTATCCTGCCTTATCCTCCTCTCCCCTCTCCTACTCTTCCCTACTCTGCCCTACCTTATCCTTGCCTGTGCTGTACAATGTTGCCCTGTGTTATAATATGAGCTTCTTGTGGACAGGGCTGTGTCTTCCTCTCTACTACACCTTCAGCATTTCTCAGAATGCCAGGGACATGTTAGGAGCTTGAAAAATATTTGTTGAATGAGACGAAGCAAAAGAGTGTCCCTTCCTCTTCAACACACGCTCTTACACACACACACACACACACACACACACACACACACACACACTATCTGGCCCTATCACAGGGCCTGCCAGTAGTCTTCCTATTAGAATAGAGCAGAGCAGGGCTCTTGCCATTCCCACAGGCTGGATGAGGACAACATGGAATGCATGAGAATGACCAGGACAGCCCTCACTTAACAAGAGCCGGGGGGCCTTACCTGCGTTGCCTCCAAAATCTCATCGATGTCCATCGGCAGATTTCTGTTCTGTAACCACAAGGCATGGTTTATGAGCATGAAATGAAGGATGGGATGATAATGACATGAAACAGTTCCCCAGACAGGGCCCTCTCATTCTTACCGGGGTGGCTGCAGCGAACCGTTCCTCAAAATGCTCGATGGGATGGCCATTCTGAAAGTGTGAGGGATGATGAATGAGAATGCAGCGAGTGACACACACACATGACATGGATTCATGAGTGTAATGACGATGGTATCTGTGGTTCACACTCCCACAGTCTCAGTAGGCGGGAGCTGTTGCCCAAGTACTATGAACACCCTGGAATATGTTTCCAACGTATGCAGGTGATCAAACAGGGGTCTCATTAGGAAATGCAGCAATGGGAAGTTTGTAAATTTAAAGTCCCTCTTCCTGAAATTACAGACATTGCCTGGCCAGTCTCAACAGTGGCAACAGATAAGAGCATAATGGGAACCGGCCGTGTGGCGCGTTGGTTAAGAGTTGGCTTGAGAGCGCCGGCTCTGAGCAGCAGGTCCTGGGTTCAGATTCCACATGAGGGCCATTGACGCTGCGCCCTCTACAGCTAAGATGGTGAACAACAGCTCGACCTGGAGCTGGGCTGCTGTGAGTCGCTGGTGATGGCGTAGGCTGCAGTGGGGCTGCACTGAGCTGCCATGAGCTACTGTAAGTGGCTGGCAGCCAGTGTGAGTAGCCGGCAGCCGGCATGAGCTGCCGTGAGCCACCGTGAGCGGCCATCCAGTGGCCGGCGACCAATTGCCTCACTCGGGAAGAGCGCAATGATCACAGTACCAACATGGGCCAGTGAAGCAATGTCCTCCACAATTAGACTGAAGAACAAAGGACAGCAACTTGTCTGTTCCCCTTCTCCAATTCCCCAACACTGTTCTCCTCCCCCAACTCCCCAATAAAAAAATCTTTAAAAAAATAAAAGATCATGTTTACCCTTGAGATTTTTTATTTAAAAAAAACAAAAACAAAAGTTACCTGCTGTAGCCAAACTTAATGTTTTAGAGTAGCCTATGAACAGCTAGTTTAGTAAGTGCCTGTGTGCAGGCCATCCCCTCGGCTTGAAATGCTCCTCTCCTCATCCCTGTAAGCTCAAAGCTCACCCCATTCCTCCAACCCAGAGGAAGGGCCACCTCCTCCATGGAGCTTCCCGTGATCGTCTGAGCTGAAAATTCTCCTCTGAGAATAAGAGCGCATCATCTGTGCCAATCACACTGTGAGCGTCCTAAAGCAGGAACCGTGCTGTACTTATTCCCAAACCCCCGGCAGCTCACAGAGGATCTGGCACACAGCCGTGCTCAAAAACATATGAATGAATGAATGCGTGTGTTAAACACAGCTGGCAGTTGACCAAATCGAATTGTTTTCATTTTTTATTTTGTTGTTTATAATGTTGAGAGTTTCCCTAAACTACTCCATAATATTGCTGCCTCAGCATCCATTTTGTGTGGCCCAGTGGCCTGCAGGGACCTTAAAATGACACAAGCCCCCTCCAGTGAGGTATGCCCTAAATAACAGCCTGCAGAGAAACAAGTAAATCTCAGTTCCTGATAAAGCTACTGTGATAAGCAGTCTCCCTCACCTCCCAGAGTCTTCCCCGTATGCACCCCTTAGATAAGACCCCTTTGAATCTTACCCAAACCCTGATCTCTTTGGTTTGAATCTGCCCAATCCAGCCTTAGCCCAGGAACCCTAGGCGTTGCACCCTCGGGCACTAATATAGGCATGTGCCCTAGGTTCGCGCTCTCTCTCTCTCTCTCTCTCTCTCTCTCTCTCTCTCGGCCTTGACCTCTCCATGTGACCCCTCCTCCAGGACCTGGGAGTAATGAACTTCTCTATTTCAATTCCCTTGCAGTTTTCTGTGGAACTGTGGCTCACCATCTGACACCCCAGGACTCCACTTAATAAATGTTATTTTAACAACGTCACCACAATATTTATTATAGATAATATACAATATATAATACCTATGATATATATGATGCAATGACCATATCTTGGTCCATACTACAAGCTAATTATTCTCTAGATGATTTCTAGGCAGTGTAACATTAATATGAATCTGATACCATTGACATTAAAATAGAGTTACTATGCACGAGCAGAAATAATTGTATCAATTCCTAATTTTGAGGAGAGGTTCCTGTTGGCAATGAAGGAGTGGAGAAACCACTACCCAAGAGACTCATAATACTCATTTGTCAGAAATCACTTCCACTCTGTCTGTAGCACATGTGACTTCACGTCACTCAGCTCAAGCGACAAGGCTGCGGAGCAGAGCAGGACCAGCGTGCCTGTGCCCGCCACAGCAGGGCCTTCGGGCCAACTCCCAGCGAATTCTGCCATCAGCCACCTGCTTCCACCAGGCCCTGGTTCCCCGGAGTCAACTATGGCTACGAGGACAGGAGGAGCAGCTACATCAGATAACCACATAAATGATCATTATTATTTGGCCAGAGGTGGGGAGAGGTGGGGAGACAATATTAGTCTAAGTGATCCTGTAATCTACGGAGTGGCCTAAAAGGTTAAGGTTATGTCGCCACATCCTTTATAAATTCTCACACTTCTAGGGATTTATGGCCCAGTCCCTACCAACTAGCTCTGGGTCATAACTTTTAATAAAAACATTTTTTAGTGTCCAAAATCTCATTACATCTGTCCAATATAGAAAAGCAAATGGCTTCAGAGCATGATGGATGAATTAAATAAATTTGAAAAACAGCCTGTGGTCGAGTCTCATAAAAACCCCCACCACGTAATGAAAATGTGTGAGGATAGCCAGCACTGGCATGAGCCCATCACTTTCTTGGTGACAGAAGAGGTGGCCTTTGGTGAAGTGTTGATGTGGGGTGTGATGAGGCGATTTCCGTAAATTCAGATGGAGCCTGGTCTGGGTGTGCAAGCGAATTCATCTCTTTGGAGTCACACACATACAAATTAAATCATGGCTGTGCCCCTGGACAAGCCAATTAACCTCTGTTTTCTCATCCTTAATGTGGAGATGAGAATGATGACACTGTATCAGGTTTATTGAGATGATTAAGATGTGGGTGCAAACGATTTTTTGCTGTTTAGCACATAGTAGGTGCTCAATAAATAGTATTTATTAGTAGTATCTTTTTATCCTATTTCTTTTGGCTAAGTTTTCAATGCACGGGCACATATTTTTTCATGTTAGGAAACTCTTATTATGTGATATTTGGAAAAAGAAAGAGGAAGAAGAAACAAAAATCTTGCTGGACACCCCTCCTAGAAGGCACCCCTGCCTGAGAACACAGATAAGACCCTCTGTACGAGGGCACCCAACACTTACTGGCCTAAGTCTTGAACCCCTCCACCCATTCTTGATCTCCTCTTCTCCCTCTCATTTCCACTTTGGCTACAGCCTTGCCTGATCATCTTCTTCCCAGCCAGACATTTTGTCCCTGGCACTTGTGGTGAACTTCCTGCTTTGACCCTGGCTCAGTTATTGCACAGAACTCTTTCCTCTTGTCTGGGGCAGCCTTGTCACACCCAGGGTGCTTCACCCAGCCGGTGGGATGATGCTTCCCACTGTCTCCCAGCTGACTCATGGGCAGGACCTGGAATCCACTCTCCAGTCTCCCCACATCCCTAACTCTTGCTTTATCGACAATGACTACCAGAGTTTTAGCTCATTTGTCCTCAAGCCTTTGTTTTCTTACAGATATATTGTCCATACTTACTATCAGAGCGTGCATGCAGCTTTGTTCTCTGCTTTTAAAAACTCAACATGACATCAAGTTTTTCCCACAACTTAAACTTCCAGTGAGGATTGAAAGAAAGAGATTCTTCTGTTTTGTTTCAACACAGTTCTATCCTGAATCTTCATTGCAACATTACAGTACAGCTTCCATGAGAAGTATATCTTCCCATGATCTCTTTTCGGAGCAGTGGGGGACACCACTGTCCCATAACTGAGTCACGTAACTATGAAGACCAAATTCATGTTACTCTTGCAGCAAAAGTGACAGTGGACGAGATGGGACTTGGGGTGAAGATGTCAAAAAGGGTGAAAACATACTTATGGCTATCAAATCAGAAACCCGCAGTGGTTCTCAACCCTGCTGCACAGTGCGATCCTTTGGGGGAGCTTTTACAAAGCTACTGGTGCCTGAGAGCCGCCATCAGAGATCTGGATTCTCCTGGCCTGGGGTGCGGCCCTAGCATCAGTGGGTTTTAAAAGCTCCCCGGGTGATTCTAACGTGCAGCCAGATGTGCTAATCACTGTACTGGGGAGTGAACTCTCTGCAGGAATAATTAGTGGGAGTCCTACTGGGAAAACTGGAGGCATCTTGATTGATTATGTAATTGATTAAATAATTTATTTAACAAACACTCATTGGGCACTTTCCACATGCTGGGGGTCCTGGCTAGGCACTGGAGCTTCAAAGATGAATAATATATGGCCCCTGCCCTGCTGAGGCTCCGAGTGAGCCAGGACATAGAGTCATTCTAGCTTGGGGGTGGGACAGGAGTGGAAAAGGCAGGACAGAAGGTTCTCGATCTAAACTCAGAACTCAGGCCAATATTGTGAAAGAATGAATGCAATCATCCCTTTAGAAAGATCAGGAGACATGGATTAACATAAGTGATTGTACCTGCACTAAAGTGGGTACTACTAAGGCACCTAGTGATTCCAGGCATTTGCATGCACGTGCCTTTCCATGGTGAGTGATTTAACAAAGAAAGGCACATGCTAATGAAGACTAAGTCCCTCTGGGGTACCTAGGAGTTGATGCTCTCCATCACCTTTAGCCAACAATAAACAACGATTTTCCTACTTCTAGGCAGAGAGAGACAGGAAAACCTGTCTGGTAATTGAGGAAACAAGGGAGTGGAGGGCGAGTTGAGATGGGGAATAGAAACTGTAATGCTAGTAAATGACTTCCCTCAAGAGCAGCACTGTCCGGTAGGACTTCCTGTGATGACGCGAAGTTCTATATCTGTGCTGTCCAATATGGTAGCCAGGAGCCACATGTGGCTATTGTATGGCCAGTGTGACTGATGACATGAAGTTTTAATTTTATTTTGTTTTAATTAATTTCAATCTAAATAGCCACATGTGGCTAATGGCTACTCTATTAGATAGCTCAGCTTTAGATTATATATATATATATATATAC